TATATATATATATAGATAGATAGATAGACAGATATTTTTTTTACAAAAAAACAACTCATTCTAAGTATTATTATTATTCAAGTGCTATGTATTTCTTGCAAGTAATTTCCAAATCCACAAAAAAATGATTCGGCCCACCCACATAGTATACTGGCTGTATAAGACCCAGTGGAGGCGCAGCTAAGCCACACCTGTCATCTAGTGGTGAATTGTGATATTACAACTTCAAACTATAAAGTGGAACCTTGCTATTCGCAGAGGATCGGGACAGAGCTGGTTTGCGAATAGCGAAAATCTATGTACAGTCCCCTCCAAAGTTATTGGAATACTGTAACAAGGTCAGTTCATTTCTTTTTATTGGAAACTGAAAATATTTGGGCTTCAGATTAAAGGATGAATATGAAATAAAAGTTCAGAGTTTCAGCTTTTATTTTTTTGTATTTACATCTAGTTCAACACCTTATTTTATACCATCTTTATGAAGCCACCCATTTTTCAAGCGAGCAATCAAATGGAACAGACATTATTACATTACAGAGAATAGCATTTAATATTTATCCAATAACTGCATCGAGCCTGTGATTAATTGACTTCACCAGACTGTTGCATTCTTCATTTGAAATGCTTTTCCAGGCCTGTACTGCAGCCTCTTTCAGTTTTTGTTTGTTTCTGGCGGATTCTCCCTTCAGTGTCCTCTTCTATTGTAATTGCAATATGTTCTATTGCAGAGGTGTTAAACTCATTTTTGTCATGGGCCACATGGTAGTGACCGTTTCCTTTGGAGGGCCGTTATGACTGTGAAAACATATGAAGTAGTCAAGAATAATGGCTCATTCAACGATTGTTTAAGTTAGTGTAATGAAGGGTTTGTAAAAAAAATGCTTTGAAAATCTCACCCATTTATTACATATGAGAAGTTGAATTATTTTGTACAGATTTTAGCAATCATTGTAGAAGTTGACATGTTTGATTTGCTTTTGTGGGCCACAAAAAATGATTGGGCGGTCCAGATCTGGCCCCTAGGCCTTGAGTTTGACACCTGTATTCTATTGGGTTAAAGGGTCTGTATCATGCAAAATCAACTTTGTGGAACTTTTAGCTGTTTTAAAATGCTAAATCATCATTAATTACAGCCCCAAAGTGTTTTTTTTCCTCCATTGACCAATCTCTGCACATTCCTGCCCATTCCTGCTCTCTAAACATCAGCTCCACCCAATTCAAGAAAATGATTGGGCCCTCAATGTTCCATTTATTAGATTGAGGAACCATTCCCATACCGCTCCTGCAGACGAAACACGGGGCCACTTTCCCTGGCTGAAGCTCCGCAGCTCTGAAATTTTTCGCATGCATGCCCAATGAAGGCGCGCTCCGAGTGGTCTCCCCGCCGCTCTTTCAAAATTTCGCTAAGTAAACACACGCCCACTTTCTCCGAGCAGACAGCAGGACAAGTGTATCCGGGAAAGAGCTGTTTGTCTGTGATCGGCATTTCTCAGAGGACTGCCTGGTGAACCTTGACCCATACAAAAGTGAATTAGCCGAGAGATTCAACCTTAAAATGGGTGCAATATTTGTTTTGTTGTATAAAAATAAACTTAGTGATTACACACATTACCATGTGCATGTGAATAGTACATCAATGCTTTATAAAGATTGCCACTGCACTCTGGATCAAGAACTTAAGGCTCAAACAATATGTTCTTTTATGGTTAATTCTATTTCCTGTTTCATTGGTGATGTGCTTCGCAGCCATCAAATGTCATGAAAGGCAATTTAAATTCTTTGCATTCTCAGATCATCCCTCCATCTGTCTCGCAATGAATGGTTCAAATTTGCGAGCAATTGGAGAAATGGTCTCAGTGGAGTTCATTAACGTACCAAGTGTATTTTACCCCGACTGAACGGGTTCAATACACTGCATTTCCTCAAAAAAGAAAATTGTGTGTGTGTGTGTGTGTGTGTGTGTGTGTGTGTGTGTGTGTGTGTGTGTGTGTGTGTGTGTGCGTGCGTGTGCATGTGTGTGTATAAAGCTGCAGGGCGAGTCAAGCGTCCATGCCTGAAATTAAAAAAAAAGGTGTAAACATATCTGTCAATCCATCTATCTATAAATGTAGAAACCATTGTGTTGTAAAAGGGAAAAGCCTTAAATATTGTGCAGTGCGAGTCAAGCGTAGATGCCTGCAAACCCTTTTAAAAAGTTCTGTGTGCTTTTAATGTTTGAATAAATTATTTGCTAATGAATACTTCATGTCTCTCTCCGCATTGAAGAAAAGCGGCGGCGGTCTATTAGAACCCCGAGTATGTGGAGACAATACATCTCAGATAGATTTAATTCAATTTGCCGTCTTTGGCACTAGGGTCCATGAACAGACTTTTTCACCGATACGATACGTATCAATATAAGAATTAATAATTTGACACAAAGCGAAAAATCGCTTTTTTGAAGAATAGAATTCGATCCATCCATCCATTTTCTGATCCGCTGCATCCTCACAAGGGTCGCGGGGCATGCTGGAGCCCATCCCAGCTGTCTTCGGGCAGTAGGTGGGGAACACCCTGAACCAGTTGGCAGCCAATCGCAAGGCACACACAGACGAACAACCACCCACGTTCACACTCACACCTAGGGACAATTTTGACTGTTCTATCAGCTTGCCATGCATGTTTTTGGAATGCGGGAGGAAACCGGAGTGCCCGGAGAAAACCCACACAGGCCCGGGGAGAACATGCAAACTCCACACAGGGAGGCTGGAGCTGGAATTGAACCCGGTACCTTTGCACTGTGAGGTCGACGCGCTAACCACTGGGCCACCGGGCCGCCGCAATTCGATACAAGAAAGACAATTTAAAATGATATTTTGAGACATAACAATGGCTTTTCTGTCAATAAACCTACACTAATTGAAGGTAATCCATCTGTCCATCCATCCATCCATTCTCTACCACTTATTGGGGGGTGGGTCGGGGGGCAACAAATTTCGCAGGGAAGCCGAGATAAATACACACACCGACAGAGAGAGAGAGATTACCTTTAATTAGTGTAATTCAGAGTAGTCTTTTTTTCTAGTCTATGTGGGTCAAATTTGGACAAATCATCTCTGAATGAGACATGAAAGTGGCCATAATTACTTGAAAATAGTTTGATGTGTTTTCCCAGCTCGAGGTTGTAAATAAGTTTGGTTGTAATGGAGTGTTTCTTTTTTCACACATTTTTTTCCATGGCTTCTCCATCCTGGTGTGCTGATGAGGTGAGATGGGTCATAAAAAAAGGTGACATAGGTTCACTTTGAGGTGTACCGGTGATGGTATTGAGGGTTTGGACTCTTATTTTACAGCCCATGTGGGTCAAAAGCGGCAGCAGCTATAAAGCGTCGTGTCAGATTAGTGCGGATCACTGCTGGATTTCAGGCCAGTCATCTGCTCCATTACTATTTCCCCCCCTAGAAAACGCAAGAGACAAACAACGGACTTAATGCTGGTGTTATTTTAAGCACTGTCTACTCTGTGATCACAACAGTGGACTGCGAACTCAGAAACTCTTTTGTTGAATATCCATCACTCACGACAGTGGACAGCAATCAGTCTTCATATCAAAGTTGCACATTCGTCACGACAGTGGACAGATATCCGAAAGCTTTTTTCTTCTATATGTAACTGTCACTCCAAGAAAAAAAGTAATTAAAAAAAAATGTTTTCGTCTATAGGCATCAGTTGATATTAGAGATGTTCATTGGCTGCTTGTATCTGGGATCTTGTTCTTTCGGTCATGACCCACAGCTCGTGACCATTGGTGAGAGCTTCACCTTTCGGCTCAACTCCTTCACCACGACAGATCGATACAGCGTCTGCATAACAGCAGACGCTGCACTGATCCGACTGTCGATCTCCCGCTCCATCCTACCCTCACTCATGAACAAGACCCCAAGATACTTCAAGTCCTCCACTTGGTGCAGGAGCTCATCCCTCAAAATCACAGTTGTCAAACTCCGGTCCTCGGGGGCCGCCCTCCTGCATGTTTTCCATCTCTCCCTGTTGCACACACCTGATTCAAATGAACAGGATCGATATCAGGCCTTTGAACAAAGAGTTGTTTTTGGGGATACAGAGATAAACAGCTTGAGAATAGCTGGCCCGTGTAGTGACTGAGGCACACGCAACGTCTCCAATGTTCCATGATCTTGATGAACGCGCGTGATAGGCTGCACTTGATTGACGTAAATTAGAAACGAGCCCCAAGCATTCAGGGACCTGTGCAATCAAACCGCAGTTCGTGCTTTTGTTTGTTTTCATCGCGGCAGTTTTAGTGGTGGTGACCGCCTGGGAGAAGGACGCCCTTCAGCCGACTCGGGCGGGCGCACTGCAGGAGGCAGTGGCGCTCCAGACCAGTTCTCGGTTCCTTTCTTCTGGAGTAATAAAACGTGGTGGAGGGAGGAGGAAGAAGAGCTGCTGGGTGGCAATGTGAGCCAAGTCTGCACAGAGACAACAAACCCTCCCCAAAGTATGCGCGGCGGCGGCTGCGGTGAAGCGGGTGCGGGCGGGGGCGGTTGGACGTTTCGCTTGACACAGGTGGATGCGGAGCGAGAAGCGCGGCATCATATCGCCGCGTGAGGAGGCGCATCGGGCGGCTGCGGCGTCAACATCGCGTCGGTGTGCTTCCTGGAGCGTTTTGGAAGCGCTGCGCATCGCTCGTCCTCTTCGTTTTAGTGATCGACTAGTCGAGTGAAGAGGAGGAGCTCTCTGTGCGGAGGACAGCATGTCTCAGGAGGCGAGAGGAAGAGGTAAGAGAAACATCTCCATGCATGCCCGCCCTGTGTGCTGGGTGAACAGGTACCGCCACGGTGTGCCTCAATCTGCTGGAATGTGAACACCTCGCTGTGTGCTTCTAACGTGTTCTGCTCAAATGCGAGAGAATTTCAGGTTAGACAAGGAGAAGTAGCAAAGAGAGTACGCTGGATACATTTTTTTCCCTTTTGATCTCATTTGATATAAGTACAATTTAGTCCCTGTCGTGGTAGTGTCACAAGTAACGTTGTCATCCAGAGGTGAAGCACAATTTCGGCTTCTAGCCAGGGTTAAGGTTTCAAATTAAGCTTTCAAGGTAAGGTTGTAGCTTCAAATCAGGGTTATGGTTTGGAGGTGGCGTGAGGGTTTTAAATCAGGGGTTGAAGGCAAGGTTAGGGTTTGGAATTAAGGTTTTTAGATATTATTCGAATGTCATGCCTGAGTTGGGGTTCGACAAAAAGGTTGAGGCGTCAAGCTTCAAAACAAGATTAGGATTTTAAAGTAGTGTTATTGTTTTAAATCTTTTTTCAGACCAAGGTTAGGGCTTCAAAACAGGATTAAAGTTTCAAATTAGGGATTAAAGGTAAAACTAGGGATTCAGATTGGGGTCTGAAGTCAAGATTTGAATTCACCTTTGAAGGCAAAATTAAGGGTTCAAGCTTCATGGCTGTTTGGGTGTTTAAAAGTAGTGTACAGTACAGTATTGCCTTTAAACCAGGCTTCCAAACCAAGGTTAAGGCTTCAAATTAGGGTTAAACGGCAATAATGGGGGTTTCAAATTAGTGCTTGGGGGCAGGTTATGGAATTCAAATGAGGGTTTGAAGGCAAGGGGTTTCAAATTGAACTTTCAACCATGATTATAGTATCAAGCCGCGATTAAGGTTTTCACATAGGGTTTCGGCAAGTGTTAGAGTTCAAAATTACGGTATCAAGATGGTGATGGGGTTCGAAGGCAAGGTTTGGGTTTCAAACAAAGTTTCATGTTTTAAATTAGGTTTCCATACCTGGTTTAGTATTTCAATTTAGGGTTTCAAATTATGATTTTTCACATGTGGTAGGGTTTCAAACAAGGGTTATTGTTTCAAATTAGTGTAAGATTTGAATGCAAGGTTTTAAGACAATGTTAAGGTTTGAAGGCAGCGTTCGGTTTCAAATTAGGATCTGAAACCTGTGTAGGGTTTTAAGCAAAGTTTACAGCTTGAAATTATGGTTTCATGACAGGTTTAGAATATCAAATGAGGGTTTCGTGTTGTTTTTTAAGACAGCTTAAGCTTTCATAGTAGGGTTTTAATAACGTTGAGGATTTTGAAACATTTGAATTTTAAACCCTGGTTTAGGTTTGCAAGCCATGGTTAGGCTCTTAAATTATGGTTTCAAACAAGGCATATAGTTTCAAATGAGAGTTTCAAGGCTGGATGAGTTTTCAAACCACAATACAGTGACAATTCTATCTTAAGCCAAGGTAAGAATTGGTGAAGGTTAAGATTTCAAACTTGGTCTCAATCCAAGGTTGGTATTTAAATTTCCAATCTAGATTTATGCTTTTGAAGAAGGGTTTCCAGGCAGGGTTTGAAATGCCAATTTCAAGTCTGGGCTAGGCTTTGAAATTAGGGTTTCAACTGAGTGATTATTTTATTCCAAGAGAGGTTATCTTTGTTCATCTATTAATGCCAACGCTTTTTAGTGACAGGCACAACAATTATATGCTCTTCCACCAGATGGCAGAAGGTACATGGAACCTGTGAAGCCACCAGTTGACATTCACCCTAATAAATAGTCTTATGTTCAACTAAACAGGCATACATCTCATATGCATTGAAATGCTAAACTGCAAATGGTCATTTATGTGTGAATACACAGCCATGCCAATGTGACAGAAAGCACTAAACGCTAAGTCGTTATGCCTGTAACATGTTGTGATTGTTTCGGAATATTATTATGATTATTATTTTAGTTTTTTCTCTGGTCTCACATTGCAAGACTCGGGAGGGGAGGAACACAGCAGCCGCGGACGGATCAGGAACGAGAACCCCCATTTTTTTCATGTCAGGACAGTGGATGCCCACATACTTAGGGTTCAGCACCTGCAAATTCACATATTCGAAATTTTATTCCTTTATTTCTCCACAATATTTTAAAATATGTCTTCATATTTTTTGGGTTATCAGTGTTATTTGAAGAATTCCTTGCGTTTAAAAAAAAAAGTTGTTGCCTGCAGCACCAGGACAGTATGACCTGTTAGCGTACACTATAATGTTAGCATATTGTTCTCATAAAAGGACGGCTTTGTCTTTGCTTCTTTCTTGGGTGATTTGCCCAAATTATCTTTCTGCCTAGACAGAAGTGACCTGCTTTTAATGAGAGATAATTACATCATGCTAGTGCAATTTTATGAGGAAAGAGATGAAGATGACATAATATCGACCGCCTCTAGTGCTTTGCCATGTTTTGCTCAAGGCACTGGTGAACTTCCTCTTTATAACCCTTCTAATTTATAGACTGCCCAATATTTTTTATATTTTTATTTTTTTTGGGGGGGTTGTTTTAATACACTTACAATATTTTAACTTCCATTTTTGTTGGTTGAAACTTGCAAAAAATATCACAGTGTAGTGGTTGTCACGTTGGTCTCACACACGAAAGGTCCCGAGTTCGAAACTGGGTGGAAACAATAGCTCCTATCTTGGCGGCGCAGTGAAGAGGTGCAGGGTTCGATTCCAGCTCCGTGTGGAGTTTGCATGTTCCCCCTCATGCCTGTGTGGGTTTCCTCTGGGTTCTCCGGTTTCCTCCCACAGTCCAAAAACATGTGTGGCAGGTTAATGGAACACTCTAAATTGTCCCTAGGTGTGACTGTGAGCGCGACTGGTTGTTTGTCAATGAGTGCCCTGCGATTGGCTGGCAACCGGTTCAGGGTGTCCCCCGCCTACTGCCCGAAGACGGCTGGGATAGGCTCCAGCACGCCCGGGACCCTCGTGAGGATAAGCGTATCAGAATATGGATGGATGGATGTAGACACTTACTTACCTTTGGCTCGGGATGGCTACCCACATTTGAGCATGACTGTGTTTTGCCTAGAGCCCTCAAATGACTAGCTACGGCCCTGGACTGAGCCAGCCATAGTGTAATTAGTGGCTCGTGCACTGATGACAAAGTCAACTAGTAGCTGGGAGAACAATGGCTGTTCAAGACCAGGATGAGTAGTCATTTTTTACGTGCTCAAAATTCCGAGTACTGATACCTTTAATACTTTTGATATATAAAATGAAATTGAACACAATGACCATAATTATGAAGGAAAACCTTTATTTCTGACGCAGATGTTGATTCTCCGATGTGTCAAACTGCTACAGTATAGCATCAATTATTGCCGAGGACTTAAACAACTTTTTTGCCTTAAGTATCGTGGCTGGTATCAGCAGGATACCGATACTAGGTATTGGTACTCACCCATCCCGAGCGAGGAATGTCTTAACACAGTGATCATCAACACTTCATACACAGTAATATGCTTATAAGTCAGCATGCTGCACAGAGATAACCTCATTTAGCATCATGGCTTTTTTTTCCTCAATTGGTAAAAAGGGGATTGGTGAGGTGGCGAGTGGATGATGCGAACACTGGACAACATTGCGTCTGCAATTGTCATCTTGGCAAAGGCATATCACAAGTATCCAACAACTACTTTTGCTCGTTTTCCTGCTTGGGCAATATAACTCATAGTTTTTTCAAAATATCCAGAACAATCAGTGTTACGGGCGACGAGTTCAGTGGTTTCCGTAATGAAATCTGTCACATTTGGCAGCATTTGGATCGAAATGAAAGGCTCGGCTTTCACTCTTTCACCCACTGGTACATGAAATTAAAACCTGCTTTTTAGCAGGTTTATGTCATTATGTGAAAACAAAGTCGACCTTCTTATCTTTTTTTGGTGACTAATCGGCACTAGGTAGCATCTCCTGAGGCCATAGCTCATTTGTTTAGTCAATATGTCTGCCAACAACAAATAAGATTAGCTTTTCTTTCCAATTTGCTCACAGTCATCTCTGTCATCGGTGCAGCTCCTCCTCCCCTCTCACTTCAACTTAATAGTGTGAGTAATAGCCCCCCTGAGCATTTTATATTCCTGGTATTAAATGAAAAGCCATCAATCTGGAAGTTTTCCTTTTTATTTGTCTCCCAATTGAATAATCGGGCATGGACTTGTTGTTCTGTTATGCGGCTGGCTAAAAATAGCAGCACCTATAAACCCCCGTCCTCTGTCTGTGTTATGAATGCTAAAGCGCCACTTCCGCTAGACATTGTTTGTTGCTGTCTCGTCGTATATGCGGGTATATTGCGTCGCATTGTATGGTATTGTCCTGTTCAACAGGCAGCTGCCATTGAGCTAATGCCTTCCGTCGATGAGCTTTGCTGCATCGTGTTTGAGCACAAAAAACGACCTGAATTGGAACTTAATGGATGTATGTCATGGTGAAGCCTCGTTGTCTGCTCGCCAATGTTTCAGGTCAAGGCGATGGCAGGGGAGTGGCACACTGGTATTGCCTTTTTTCTAGATGGATGGATGGTGGGATCATGGATGGTTGTGTTTATGATGGGATGGATAGATGATTCGTTGGGTTAATGTATGGTTTTAGATGGGTGCAGGGTGTGATGGATGAGTAGGTCGGTGGATAGATGGTTGGATGAATGAAGGGTTGATGATTGATGGGGGGATGGGCATAAATATCTGTGAGCTGCATGATGTTGGGACGAATTGGTGGTGCGTGCTATATGCATGCAAGGATAGATGGATGGTGGAAAGGGTCAAATGGCTGCATGGTGGAATGGATTGATGGGTGGTTGGGTGGGTAAATAGATGGGGTGAAAAGGTGCTGAGCGGCGCGAGGCTTTTCACGACATTCAGCCGACTGATACGACTGCAATCTGTGAATCTCATGTGGAGAATAAAGGAGCCAACGTATTTTTTTCTTCCATTCTCTTTTGATTGAGAGCTCACGTTTTAGCTTTTTTTTTTTTACACAGAAAATTGTGCATAAACGAACGCAAATGGCAATATTATTATTCCTCCTGTATTTTACCCATTCTGCTCAGCAGCTTAGTGATGTACTGTAGTATCAGTGGTCTTTATGGTCTGGAGGGGACAGACGAAGAGAAAACATAGACCAAACAGACGGCAACGGCAACTCATGGTGGGACTTTGTTGGGGTTCAACAAGAAGAAAATGGAGCATTAAAAACTAACAAAAGTCACCTGTTGGGAACCAAGCAATCAACAAGAAGAAATGAGCAAAAAGCACCTGTTGGAACTTAGCTGGCAATCATGGCATAGACAAGGCGGAAAAGAGAGCAAAAGGCAACAGCAACACTGGTTGAAACTTGATTGGGGATCTTTAGATTAACAAGGAGAGAAGCAACAACTATAACAGCACCAGGTTTGGGGCTAAAAAAAGGAAAGCGGAGAGTTTGAAAATCATAAAATAACACCTGTTGAAACCTGTCTGGAGAATCTGGGTGTCAACAAGGAGAGTGAAAAGGGAGCACCAACAACATTCAGTTGGCTTTAATGAGTTTTTAGACCAGTGGGATGTTTCATTGTTATTAATTTTTAAAATCAGTTTAAATTAGTTTTATTATTGGTGTATTTGGAGAGTGCAAGATAAAAAAAAAAAAGTCACTCAGTGAGTGTTATGTAGCAAGGTACAATTCCCAAATGCCTGTTTGATCTTTCTTTTGTAGGGCTGTACATACCAAACTAAATACAGTTAAAATAAACCACAAAAGCTCATGTATGAAATTGAGTGACAAAGATGTAAACAAAGAACATTTTCGCGACAATAGTTTTAGTTCGTTTTAAGAATGGAACACGTACTTTCAATTAACTTCATTATCCGACATCTGTGTATTGCGTATTGCACAATGCACTACCTCACTTTACCTACAATAGCCACAAGTGCCATTGTTTATGCTGTTTAGATGACATATTATGTCTTTTTTATACAATGTAGCTGCTATCTTTTCTCAGCTGTGTGTGTTTAATGCACAGCATGTTTGCATGCATATTTGCACTGCGGATTGGGAGGAAGAAATTTCATCTATGCTGCATATCATACATAAAGCATAATTGACAATAAAGATGACCTTGACCTTGACCTTGAATTAGTTCTGGGTTTTTTTTTCAGCACTTTTCAGCATTTTTTTCATTTTTTTTTTCTCTTTCTCATTTCAACATTTTTGTTTTGTTTTTGGTTGTAACATGGTTATTGAAAGTTAAAGAGAGCTAAAAATATCAATAGAACATGGTTGTAATAGCAGGGGACAAAAAGCAAAAAGTAAGACGAGCAGCACCTGCAAAGTCCTGCGGATACAAGAGGAGGCACGAGAGCAAACGTCAACCAAAACAGACACTTGTCAGAATCTGGCTGAGGAACATGTGGACAAACCATGTGAAAAGCGACCCCCCCCCCCCCCCAAAAAAAAAAAAAAAATCATAATCAGAGACCGAAGACCCCTTTGTTGCCGCTTGGAGGTCCTCATATAAACAAGAGAGAACAAAAAGCAGCAACAAGTACTGCTGCGACCTTCACTGGAGTCGTGCCTGAGTGCGCACGCTATCGAAAGTGACAATCGCAGTGGACAAAGCCACAACAAACGCAAAACGGCGAACACAACCCAACTGTGGGCCGTTGGCAGCGAGGCAAATTCAAGTGACGAACACGAAGAGGGAGGCTGTCACCCGCTGCCGTAGTGAGGATGGATTTCGTCCAGTCTAATGGCGTTATCGTGCATGCTAGCGTGTGTGGTCGTATTGTTGCGTGTGTGATCATGTGTGTGTGCGCCACTCATTTGACTTTTGGGGAAGGCAGATTAATGCGATCGCTGCCTCTCATCAACTGCAGCAATTGATTGTGCCACGATTAGTTTTGATTGAATTGGAGGGGCGAGCTATTCATAGCAAGTTTTGGCGATTCACCAATGTGAGTATCGTCATCCAGTCAGCTCTGTCCATCCTCTGCTGCTTTCAAAGGCTCTTGCCAAGGGACTCCTTCAAGAACAAGAACATGGGAACAGTCTCATGTGTAATCGTGCTGAGTCATGCTACAGCCCAGACACGATAATTCCAAAATTTAATATGTTAAAGACAACCAGTTTTGTTCAAATAAGGTCCCACCTGAAATTTCTTTGTAATATCACAAGAAGAACATTTGAATTTTTGAGGGGGGGAAAAAAGTTGTAATATTACAAGTGGAAAAAAGAATCTGACCTCTGAGGAAAAAAAGGTAATAGGAGGAAAATACATTTCATATGAACTATTGTGAGGAGAATGTTGGGAGTTCTATGAGAAATAATTTTGTACGGATGTAAAGATTGTGTAATATCAGAAAGTTGAAAGCTCCTCTTTTTTTCCTGCCTTTCCTCATCCAACATGAGGGGAAAAAAGTGATCATTTTACAGTCATAAAATTTAAATTTGACAAGAAAAAAAGATTGAAGTTGTATTGCTACAAGGAAATAGTTATAATATGCGAGGAAAAAAAGTTTGCATTGTGTAATAAGAAAGCCTGAACCCAACAAGAAATGGTTGTAATTATTTTAATATTACAGCAGTGTACTGTAAGTGTAAAATCTAACGGCAAAAAATAATCACGATTTCATGCGGAAAATATTCCACTTATTTGAGTTACAATACTAATTAAGTCACTTTTTTAATATCAAAATTGTTGCATTGTTGCTGGGGAAAAAGTTGCAATTTCACAAGAGGAAATTCGTTTTGTGATGTAAACTGTGAAACATTCGGTTCAAAAAGTTGAAATCTTACAAGTTGTACCGTATGGAACCAAAGAAATTGTACCCAAGTAAATGTTTCAAAACAAACCATTTTACAAGATTGAACGCAAATGCATTCACTTAAAAATGAAATACAAATGCTCTGGACTGTATTAAAAACAAGTTTCAGCCACTGCCTCATAATTCACCGTTTGAACATTTAATTCCTTTTCCTCCATGCAAGACTTGATTTACATGTCCCGCACTGTGAATCATTGTTTTAGATGACGCAAAAATTCTGCAACCAGCTGAGAATTGAATGTTTGGTGCATCCATCTCTTCATTTGAAAGCAGAATGAGTTCCAGGCGTTTATTGAACTGTTTTATTGTATCCAGTGCACGCACATGCTGCAGGCAATCAATAGAAAACACCCACGGTGTGTTATTTTTGGGCCATTGTCACCATCACAAATGTCACGTGTTGTTCAACATTTGTTTCTTTCAAGCTTTTCCTTTCGTAAGTACACACAAACAAGGGTAGTCATAAAAGAGAAACATCTCGAGAGCCAGTGCTGAACATTGATTTAATTTAATCTATTTCCAACCCAAACACTTTTTATTGCTCTCTTTTAATCCGCGCTGAATGTTAACCTTTCTGTAAAGCGCTCTGTTAAAGGTGCAGCTATTGTGAAAGCGCAATATCAATAAAGATGTATTGTATTCATGACATGCTGTATAATAAATCTATATCTGAAGCGCAAAACATTTTTCTGTCCAACCATCTTTCCCCATTGAAATGAATGGAAAAGCCATTAATCCGTTCCAGTGCCCCTTCCCCCGCACCAAAAAAAACAAAAAACAAAACTGCAGTGTTTTGTCACGTGTTTTAAAAAGAAAAATAGTATACCATAATATGATACTTTATAAAAACATGCAATATTTAAATAGCATGTTAAGAATTGAACAATTTGTGCATCGTGATTTTAGACTTCAATACCCATTGACATTGTCACCCTTGTGGTGTGCATGCCTTGGCCACCAGGGGGCAGTATAATACAAACATAAAATACACAAAGAAGAGTCTCATAACTAAATGACTCAGTAAGCTGCAGTAAAATGAGTTATTTTTCGCATCGGACTAAGAATAAGTACCTGTGAGTATTGTGAGATTTTCAATCTGTGTTGTTGCAATGTTTATGTTGAGATATCCGTTGTTTCAATGATCCATGTGTTTGTGTTTGTGTGAACCCCAAAGGTTCGTCACACAAGCACAGCGCCACCCACTGGTGTCTGCAGAATATTGCGCAAGAATCTGTGGACAGCTCCGATGAAGAGTTCTTCGACGCCCGAGGTTAGTGTTCCCCTTTATTTCATCCCACTGTCGTTTGCTTCTTTTTTCGTAAAGCGTGTGCCAAAAAGTTAGTTAGCTATTAATCCCATCGATTAAAGGGCCTAGATTGCGTTCAAGTTTAAACTTTCCACAGTTAGCTACAGGCATATATAGATCCGGCCATCATTATCTGAGCCGCTTTATCCTCACCGGGGGGTTACTGTTGTGCTGGAGCCTATCCCAGCTGTCATCGGGCTGTAGGCGGGGTAAACCGTTAACTGGTTGCCAGCCAATCGCATGTCTATCGACGGCTTTGACAATAAACAGAAACAAAGCTAACGACATCAGCGGCACGCGCGGCAATTTAGCACAGCGTACCGCGGAGGAGGATTTGCGCGGCCGGTGATGAAGCCACGCTCCCGGCAGCTGGAGGCGGGGAGAGAGAGCCACGTGGGATATTTACACTGCCGATGGGACGCGAGTGCACCTCGAGGCTAATTGACGTCGTTAAAGGAAGACATTAATTCAGGGAGATGGCTGGAATGATCGGCTAAGGAAAACCTCGGGAAGTTGAGTGATTTCATGGGGAAAAGTTTGTGGGTTTCAATGATTACATTCAATAAAATGTCTTTCATATTCACAAGCTATTGTGGGCTTTAGCTTGAAATGAACCAACGGCAAAGCGGAAAGCAAACATGTTCATATTTAAAGCTGCGGAAAGGGATCAACATCTTCGCATATTTTTTCATGAGGAATAATATGGCAATGTCCAACTTTTTCAACTTATTTCTTATTTTAAAAAATCTTAGATTATTCTTTATTTTCAAGAAAAAGTAATCTGTTGAGAATAAAGTCAGATTTTTTTTTTTAAAGACAAAAAAAGTCAGAATTTATATTTGCATTGTTCAAAGACACAATCAAAAAAAATGTGCCAAAAAATGACATTACTGTATTTACAAAAGTAAAGTTGCACTTTTCTGAGATATGTGGTCTCATTCTGAGGAAAATGTCACGATTTTAATATAAGTAGATGGTATTTTATTGATTTATTAATTTTTAAGAGAAGTTGAAATCTTATGAGTTAAAAGTTACTTGCCCACATTTGTTTTCAGGATAAATTGTCAGTCATGATAAAGCCTGAAAATAAAACATTTAACAAGATTGAAGTGTTATTTTTCAAGATAAAAAGTCAGAATCTTAGGATATGAGAAAAATCTCAACATGATTCTTTGTTTTGATTTGAGTGTAAATTCTTTGTAGATTGGACTCAAAAACGGCATCGCAAATGGAGCGCGATGTGTGGACTAACGCCCAATTAAATGGCTTTCCTGAATGCATACGAAGTCAGGGAGGGATTTTTTTATCATGAAATCTAAAATCAATTTTGTCAGGGCAAAGACGTAGCACGCCAACAATGACATTTAAATGGCCTGTCGCTTTCTATGTTTAGAGACACTTTAAGCCCGCAGCGACAAAACTGATTAAAGTCGAGCTCAACGTACTGTGACAAGCTTTGCGCTCCCGAGATAACGAATTCACTCATGCATGTTTTTTTCTCAAGTGAAAATTGGCATCATGAAATTTTAACCATACAGACAATATTTTAAACCATGTTGATATTCTTAGCTGTCCAAAAAGTCTTTGCAGATACTCAGCCTTCTAATATGAATACTGTATGTTGAAAATACTTCAGCGTTCCTTCAACTCTCTGTTAATGACCAAGCAGTAGCAGCCAACATGTTTACGCTGTGCTTATCTTATAAGAATAAAGCTTTTTGTAACGCGGACATGAAAGAAAAAAGTTTTTTTTTTTTTTTTGACAGAGTTGACAATTAGCCTTTTTTTTCCCAAAGAGTATTTCTTATTTATTTAGACAAAAAAAATGGGGAGGTGAAAAGTCCTGATTGTATGAGGATGGTGTTATTTTAATTTTTACGCCATAGTCTATTATGAAAAACATTTCAAATCAATAAAATTGCATTTAGAAAGATTTGAAAGGGTTTGTAGTCTTATAACAATGACGACATGTTTTCCGTGTGAAAATATTCATTGTACTGTAATCTTACTAGAATGGTCATATTTAGTCAATATCAAAAGTCATATTCTTGCAACAACGTTGTTTTTTTTTTTTTTTTTAATTGTAATCCTAAAACAAGAACACATATTATTCTGGAACAGTTGTTAAAAAAATAGTAACGATGGTTGCAAGCGTCCATCCATTTTCCGATCCGCTTATCCTCCGGGTCGCGGGACGTGCTGGAGCCAAACCCAGTTGTCTTCAGACAGGAGACTGGGGACACCCTGAACTGGTTGCCACCCAATCGCAGGGTACACATCAACAAACAACCATCCGCGCTCACAATCACACCTAGTGGCAATTTAGAGTGTTCCAAAAACCTGCCATGCATGTTTTTGGAATGTGGGAGGAAACCGCAATATCCGGAGAAAACCCACGCAGGCACGGGGAGAACATACAAACTCCACACAGGAAGGCCGGGGCCGAGAATCGAACCTTGCACCTCTGCACTGTGAGGCAGACATGCTAACCAGTCAACAACCATGCCGCCCAAATTTGGAAGCAATTGGAAAAAATATCTAGGACAAGTTGGTCTTTGAGGACCTGTGGAAATTGCCAAAATGTCTCTAAAACGGCCACTTAGACCTAGATGCGTCTGAGTGTTGTTGTGCAGCAGTAGTCCCCAACTACCGGTACCTGGCCTTGGCCCGTTTGGGACCGAGGTGTGAGCTGTGAGCCACTTTTTCATCATCAGACATGGCGGAAATGTTTCTTTTCTTCTTTTTTTTCTAAAAGACCCAGAGAAATTGAAAGAAAGATGCTCCAAAACAAAATGTTTGTTTTCAGGATTTACATCGTGAGACTTTTTTTGTAGGTCCACTTCTGATCGACATGCCTGCCAAATATGTTGCTAAGTGAAACTGCCTCCAATGGCTGAATTAAATTGTTTTAAAGGACTTGAAAAATAACAACATGACACTAAAAGGGCTGCTTCGAACCGTCTTTTTGTGTTTCTGGCATGGCTTCATGAAATGTTGTTTTGTACTCATGATGTCCACAAATTTCATGTTGCTCAGACAAACTGCCTTCAGGGGCTCACTTGAATATCTTTTTAAAGGACACCGAGAACTTACCAACATGACTACTCAAAATGGACGTCTCAAACCAAAGTGGCTGCCTTCCTGTCTTTCCGCACGTGAGCACGGGGCACGCAACGCTGCACGATGTTAACACTGCATTGTACGAACGTTTACTTCGCTACGGCAAACACGTATTCGTATACAGACATAATTTCCACGCGGCGGATTTCCTTTCACGCTCTGTCTGTCAATTCGCCTCATTATGCAAATGGATGCCATCAAATTCGGATTAACAATACGACGAATTTGTCAAGGACTTGCACCGATCGACATTGTGGAGATTGAATTGGCAGCCGCGGGAGGCCCTGGGGTGGCAGCCCGTCAAGATCAAATATTAGCCCCGACTCAGCAGTATAAATAGTACGTGCAGCGACAAACGGCATGTCGAGCAAATGAAACGCCTCTTAAACTTTTTCTATACTGCGCAGGAACAGATGCAAAATCCAATGAGAGCACACCACAAGAATGAGCTGACGCCTCGCTGCGTCCGGACAAATATTGAAAATTGTATCTCACTGAGCAGCTGATGAAGATAAGATGCTGCCGGTGGCTGCGTGAAGCTGCTGTGAACGAAGAATACAATACACAGGAGAGCCAGACAAATGAATGTGCGCAGACAATCTGGAATTGCGTCATGTCTTATTCAATCTGATTTCTGAGGCCAAATAAATCACATTCTCACCTCCTACTTTTTGGGGGAAATTCAACCCCCACCCCCAAGCCAATTTCACCTAGCAGCATGAACTTTGCTCGCCGTGTCAATGGCAAGCATCCCCACAAAAAGAAATCTCTCGAAGCTAAAACTGAAAATGCACAGCAAGTGTGCCATTTTGGTTCAAAGTGGCAGTTAACTTTTATTTACTTTTTTGGGGGGGACAATCCCCCAAAGCTAGTTTCACTTAGCCACATGAAATTTGGTAGGTGTGTTTAGCGTGAGTAGAAGTAACGAAAAGTCTAATGAAGTCATGCCTGAAAAGACATGGCACGTCTGCCATTTTGGTTTGAAATGCCCATTTTTGGATGATTTTGGGCCATTTCGAACAGTCCTTCAAAGATAAACTCCTCCAAGAAAGTTTCTCTGTTCACGATCAAATTTGAACCACATATTCTGGGAAAAATTCATCCCCCAATGCCATTTTAAAAACATGAAATTTCATCTATATCGATCAACAGTAGACATAAAAAAAAGTCTCTTGAAGTCATGTCAGAAAAGACACAGGAAGGAACTCAATCATTTTGATTGGGCACGTCAGGGTCATTTTCACCATTGCATGGTTTGTTTAAAAAAAAAAAAAATCTCTGATAGAATTTGATTGCAACTGAATTTGAACCATATATACAAGACAGATAGATGGCACTAAAGTGTGACAAGTTTCAGTTTTTGTGTGTTGGGCTGACCATGGCAACAAAATGTGATGCCTCATCCTAAAATGCAAAACCAGTAATACTTTAGCTTGTGATTTTTTTTTTGAACCCCCAGAGCCAGTTTCGCTTCAAAACATGACATTTAGTTCAATTGTTTATTTTGAGTAGACACATAAAAAAAAAAAAAAAAAAAAGTCTCAAGAAGCTTGTGTGATGATAGAGGACCCAAAAGCAGGAGATAACTCAAAGTAACAAAAAAAGACCAAAAAACATGTCAGTGGTACTATGGTCAGACCCCGAGTGGTCGGCTGGACAGTCTTTTTAACAGAAAAAAAGCTAATGACATGATGATGACGGGATCAGGCCTCCTCTGGTCCTGCGGGGTCCATTTTTGGTCGGATCGTTCTGTTATATTTGTGCCATGCTGGAGGACCAGGGAGCCAGGAGAAGCAGGGTATGCTCAACAAGATATATGAACGGAAACACTCACAAAAGCACAT